GAAGCAGTTTTTTTGTGCTTGCATACCAAAGAACACCTCTTTGTAACGATTCACCCACTTGCTGACGAACTGTTTCGACTTTTGCATGTATTTTGCAGCAGCCGTTTGAGTCATTTGAGGTTCTTTGAGATGCAAGCACAAAAAAAACTGCTTCGAAGCGCGAAGCGTAAGCGGTACTCATTTTGGAAAAATACAAAGGATCGAATTAAAAACAACAGTCAGCTAATTTTCCTTCATAAAGCATGAAGGACTATACTGCCCTCTATATGAGAAAAAAAAATTACAGCAATTTTATTATCCGATCGCTAGTAATCGTGACTACGCTCTTATGTGACCGACTGTATACCAATCAATTTTTGTGCAGTATTCCGATTCAATCTTAAATGTTCCTTAAATTCTTCATCTGTCCAAGAGTCAATAATCAAAAGATAGTCTTCAATTCGATGTCTCTTTCGGCCAGTTGTTAAGTAATGCAGAAGAGGAAAAAGTAATAAGTCTGCATGATCTTCGTCGCTACTGTTACTGGACGAACTGACGCTATCTGTACTGCTTGATTTTTCGATTGCATTATCAGAACTTGTTTCATCAGAACTGTACAAGTTAGGACTTTCTATAAATTGATACATAATTTTTGTTTTTTTCTGCAAAATATAATCATATTTATATTTTAACGTGATTGTTAATAATCAGTCATGTTTCATTTGTACTTACTTTACACATGTTAATAATCCTTTTAAATGTCTTGATCCGTACGTTTGCTAAGCCGAAATGGATAATGGATATGTGATTTAAAAACTCACTATTTTATAAGCAAACTCTAGCGGTCTAGTTCAGAACTAAACGCATTCCATTAACCATCTAAGCACGGTGTTTGGCCGTGTCACACAGTGTCAATCTGTGTTCTGTAAATGGAAAACTCCCACAGTGTTCAACGGAAAGTTTGTCGCGGGTGAAAAAACGAGTGTAAAATCGTTCAATACGCGCAATCGCGCATTGTATCACTCGTCGGATCTGCGCGAGTGGTACGATCGAGACGTGATGGATGCAACAATAACCACTCTGGAGGAGTTCCAAGAACGCAACAGCGGCTGGGCGTTGACGCAGATACTGAACCTCACAGTGAATGTGAACAGTCACAATCCGATGCGCGCAGGATGTCAGATTAAAATGTCGCGTGAGATTCAGCTCAAACACGCGGTAGTGAACGTACAGTCGCTGAACAATGCGTGTTTCGCGTGAGCAGTGGTCGCCGCATTGTATCCTAGTGCTAAAGACTCACATCAACCGTCGCAATATCCCGCGTACGCGAGTGTGTTGAACTTTGATGGAATAGAGTTTCCAATGACATTGCGTCAAATCGCGCGTTTCGAACGCAACAACAACGTGTCCGTAAACGTGTTTACGGCGGCGGAACAGGGACGCGGATACGTGCCGCTGCATCTCACGTCGAACAAGAAGGAGAAGCATGTGAATCTACTGTATGTTCCCGATCAACACAATGGACACGTGAGACACTTTGCGTGGATAAAAAATTTATCGCGTTTAGTCAGCTCGCAATTGAGCAAAATGAAGACAGCAAAGTACATATGCGATCGGTAAGTACGAACAATTGGCGTAACTGTAACAACAATGGTGAATAAAAAAAGTAATTTTCTAAATTGTGAGATAGTGAACTCATTAATCAATGTTGCGTGTATTGTTCGTTTATTGCAACACGTACATAGATGTCTACACTACTTCTACACGAGCGATAAGCTGGCGGTACACACCACGGATTGTGAAAGATTGAACAACAGCGCAATCATTCTTCCCGCTGAAAGAAAGAATTGTTTGAAATTTGAGAATTACAACAACAAGGAACGGGTTCCAATGGTGGTGTACGCCGACTTGGAGTGCGTACTCGAGAAACAGGACAAAGAGGAAAACGCATCGAGCGCGCACAAGTATCAAAGACACAGTGTGTTCAGCATCGGTTATTACGCGAGCTGCGAGCACATTGACATCGGATACAGATCTTATAGAGGCGAGAACTGTGTGCAGTGGTTCGTAAATAATTTGCACGATCTCGCGAAACGTGCAAAGACCATATTCGCGACAAATGTACCCATGGTGAATCTCACATCGACGGAGCTCGAGCGGTTTAGGAACGCCAAGTGTTGCCACGTTTGCGAACGACCGTTTGAGCGAGATGACATGAGAGTGCGCGATCATTGTCATCTGACGGGACGCTTCAGAGGACCCGCGCACTCCGCATGCAATCTGAATTACAAACAGGTCTACGTTGTTCCCGTTGTGTTCCACAACTTGTCGGGATACGACGCGCATTTTATTATCAAGGATGTGGCCACCGCTTTCGAGGGTGAGATCAACGTGCTGCCCGTGACAAAAGAGACCTACATATTGTTCACGAAACATGTGAGCAGTACTTGAGATGAAGACAATCAGAAGTGCGTGCAACTGCGGTTCATCGATTCGTACAAATTTCTGAGCACAAGCTTAGAAAAGCTCGCGTCCTATCTCGACAAGAGCGAACTGCGAGTGACTCGAACGAAATTCGACGATTTCTCCACCGAGGACTTCGAACTGCTCACGCGAAAAGGTGTGTTTCCATACGAATATGTGGACAGCGTCGACAAATTGTTAGAAACAAGTTTGCCACCGCGCGAGGCGTTTTACAGTTCGTTGACCGGTGAGACTGTGACGGAGAGCAAGTACGCGCACGCGACGAACGTCTGGCGACGATTCAATATCGATAATTTGAAATCTTACAGCGACCTGTATCTGAAGACAGACGTACTTTTGCTTGCCGATGTATTCGAAAACTTTCGTCGCGAGTGCCTCGCGAGTTATGGACTGGATCCCGCGCACTACTACACGCTGCCGGGATATACATGGGACGCCATGTTGAAGTATACTCGTGTGACGTTCGAGCTGTTGGCTGACATCGACATGGTAATGTTCGTGGAACGCGGCATACGCGGCGGTTTGAGTCAATGTTCAAACAGATACGCCCGCGCTAACAACAAGTACGCGCAATCGTACGATCTATCCGAATCGTCGTCGTATCTGATGTACTACGACGTTAACAATCTCTACGGATGGGCAATGTGTCAACCGCTTCCATATGGTAACTTTGCATGGGTGGAGAACGCAGACGAGTTTGATGTGACAACGGTCGTCGCGGACAGCGACGTTGGCTACATACTCGAGGTCGATCTGACGTATCCGAAAGAACTGCACGACGAGCACAGAGATCTACCCTTTTGTCCAACGCGCGAGGAGCCGCCTGGTAAACATGGAAAGAATCACGTCAAACTGCTCGCCACAGTGTTCAACAAGAAGCGATACGTGATTCACTACCTCAACCTGCAGCAGTGTCTGCGATACGGGCTTCGCCTGACGCGAATACATCGAGTACTGCGGTTCTCGCAATCGCCTTGGCTGCGCGGATACATCGAACTGAATACCCGATTCCGCGCGAACGCCACCAACGAGTTTGCAAAGAACCTTTACAAACTCATGAACAACGCGGTGTTCGGCAAGACTATGGAGAACGTGCGCAAGTACACCGACGTACGACTCGTTACAAAATGGGAAGGACGATGCGGTGCGGAGGCGATCATTGCAAAACCAAACTTCCACAGCCGCAGCGTGTTCGCTGAAGATTTAGTGGCCATAGAACTGCGTCGTTTGGAAGTTTTATTCAACAAACCGTTGTATGTTGGTATGTGCATACTCGACATATTGAAGACCTGTCTATACGAATTCCATTACGACTACATGGCACCGTTGTATGGTTACGATTGCAAGATCCTCTACACCGATACCGATAGTTTGATATACCACATAAAGTGCGAGGATGTGTACGAGGATATGAAGCGTGATATCGCTCGCTTCGATACGAGCGACTATCCAGCGAACAATCCATACAATATGCCTTGCGCAAACAAGAAGGTACCGGGACTTATGAAGGATGAGAACAACGGTGCTGTTATGACGGAGTTTGTGGGTTTGCGCGCAAAGATGTACGCGACTCGAGTGGGCGACAGCAAGTGCACGAAGAAGGTGAAAGGTGTGAAGAGGAGCGTCGTCGCGAGAACGATCACCTTCGACGATTACGTGCAATGTCTGCGGAACGCAACCGAACTGACGCGACAGCAGTCGTGCATACGATCTCAGTTGCACGAGGTGTTCACCATGTCAGAACGGAAGCTCGATCTGAGCCCGCACGATGACAAGCGGTACATCATCAATGGATCGACCGACACCTTACCGTGAGGCCACTACAAAATCCCTAACTTAGATTAGATTATGTTGATGATATAATAATAATACATTAAATGAAGTATATGTAATTGTTTTTATTGTATTAAAAAAAATATGTACTACTTTATAAATATAAGAATTAAAGAGAGTACACATAGCGTAATAATATTAGACCACATTGTTCTTATTTATCCAGAAATTGTGTGAATTGTTTAGTCCCAACCACTTGACCAACACCTCGTTGCCTCAGCGACGCAGAACCTTTTCTACCAGATACACGTCTGGATGTTTAACCGCGTGCAACTCGTGCTCATAGAATCCGCCGGCTATTGGTTCACCGCGATAATCCTCGAGCAGATAGGTCGCTGGTGAAGTTTGTTGCACCTTTTTAACGCGGAACACCTCGGTGGTCCAGTTTGGAGTATAACCCTTCGCAAAGACAGTTTTGTACTTGCTCACGCACACAGGATCGCCGACTCTGAATCGCGCCGGTCCTGCGATTTTGACGTTGCTGTACACCGTGCGCAGGAGTCGCTCGCTCGAAGCCGGCGTTACGTCGATCGGCCGCGCGCCGATGGTGCGATGCTTGCGCGCGTTGTACTCCGCTACAAGTCGTTGCAGATCGTCGATCCAGCGATACAATCTGTTTAGCGTAAACATTTTCCACATGTTGTTCTTGAGCGTGCGATTGAAACGCTCAACCACCGACGCTTTCATAACAGAATATGTGAAGTAGTGATTGACACCGTGCCGATGCATCAGATTTTCTACATCCGCATTGTAGAACTCCTTGCCGCGATCGGTTTGCAGATTCGTTGGACAACAATCGTCGGCGCGAAAGATCTTCGCAAACGCCTCAGCGACCTCTTTGCCGCTCTTGCTCTTAAGCGGCAACGCCCACGCGTACTTGCTCAACACATTGATGACTGTGAGAATGTAGTTGTGATCTTTGTTCTGGCAAACGTAAAGACGCATCTCGACCACATCGGCCTGCCACAGATCGTCGTAACCGCGCACTATGACTCGTCTGCGTGGAAAGTTGCGTCGCGCGGGCGCGTGCAGTTCCTCTGCGATCTCTCTCTTCTCGATGCTCATGTTGACTTTGGCTGCCTGTCTCGCACGGTCTTGCGCAGGTTAGTGTGGATAAAGTCTTTTCACTCACTCACTAACTAACTTTTTTGTCTGTTCCGTGCACACATTCTCTAACTGTACTAATCGATCGTACGCGTTTGTTCGCAGAGTCTCAATCGCCTCTCCCGCTTCTTTGCAAAATTGCTCCAGATCTTTTCTCAATTCTTCTATCTCACGCGGATCCGCACTCCGCGGTCTCGTCTCCAGCTGCAACAATCGGTCGTACGCGTTTGTTCGCAGATGTTCAACGGTCTCAGTTCTTTGCTCGACTGCTGCTCGTATTTTTTAAGATCATCGAACTCGCGTCGATCGACGAAATGTTTCGCGCTCTTCGACAACCGCTCGTCCGTTGCCTCGACGCATGACAACGCAATCGCGGAGCTATTTCGCAGATTACCTACAAGTTCCTTCAATTGTGTAATAGCCGTCGAAAGCGCGACCACGTTCAAGCTTAGGATATCTAGTCCAGTCAATAGGGAACAAAAACCACCATTTTTTGCAAAAATGTTTAACCGATTTCTGAGTACATTATCGTTTAGTGTGCGCTTCACTGATAGACCCCTACTATCATGTATCTAAAATTTTGTCCCGGAACTTGTTACAAATGATGGTTAAAAGTGTGAAAAATGAGTTTTTCGCTTTTATCGAGGAAGAACTGCTAGTTAGAGAAAAAAGCTTTAAATAAAAGTTGTAGATATTGAAAATATCTTTCGTTTAAGCTATTAATCGAATGAATCGAGCAAATATTTATCGAGATAATTGTAAAAAACACCCAAAAATGACTGTT